GTGTATATATATCTACAAAATCTACGCCTTACTTTATGTTTTTTGCTCACTGCAATTTTTTTTACCACTGCCAGCCATTCGCTTTTATACTTCGATCCCCATATATACCTATGTGTGCACATGATAATTCTTAGCTCATATGTGCACTACGGCTACACATTTCAAATATAAAACGTAGCTTTTGTCCAATATGCTATAATTGTCTACAACAAATACGTACTTTTAAACCTTCACAGATACCTTTGTCTGCTCTCTCTCTCTCTCTCTCTCTCTCTCTCTATATATATATATATATATATATATATATATATATATATGAGTAACATATAGCGTATATATTGCGATTTAAAATATAGTGTATATATACTGCTGGTGCTTAGGGCCTAAATCTACAAAAGAAATAAACGTCGTTTGATACCACCGCGTTAACAAAAACTGCGGCTATGCCATACGTTTTTCATTTTTCAAGGTACAACGAAAAAGAGTCATTGACAACTTAATTAAATTTATAAACTTAATAACTTAGGATCACTGCCCTTTCTTAATCATAAACTGCTTCTCGAATAATCATTACTTTCAGATAGGGAAAGGACTATTTAATAAGATTTATATCGCATATATCTGGTTACTTGTAGTTCAATAACGTGTCATATATGCGGTAGCAGTTGTTATCCTTTGAGTCAAGCTCAGAACAAATAGTATTCTTATAAAACTGTTCAATAAGCAAAAGTCCAAACAAAGGGATGATAAAAGAAAGACAAATAATTACTTATTGTCAGAAGTGCACCATTTTTTAAAGTTATACGAGTTTGATACGTCACAGAATAAAAGCATTATTTAAGGTGAATATATATATATATATATATACAAATCGGTGCCTGCTAAATTGATTGAGAAAAAAGAAGCAGCCGACTACCGAAGAGATCATGGAGTTCTTTGATACTGACGATGAGAGGTCTATGCGGAAAAATCGAGCAGCATGTACGAGGAGGAGAGTAAACATTAGAGAATAAACCAAAAATAGGTGTTTATATATGACGATGTAGAAGCCCACGTATTCTACTGTAGTTGTCGCCGTCAAAATCGAGCATCGATCGTTGATTTCAAAAAGGAAAAAAAATTCGATTTCTTAGGTAAGATGTTAAACACTTATAGTAATAATTTATTGCGTACTATTGGTCTGGTGTTTTTATTTTTTTTTTTTTTAATTTTTCTTTCTTGGTTTCAATTTGTTATGTTACATTGTACATTTCGATTTTGGTTGTCGCATTTTGGTACCAGTACAGTTACGTTAAATTGTGATATAGTGTAAAACTTAGTGATACGCACAAAATAATTAAAATGGTAAACGGCACATACCTGGCCATTAGGAAGTGAAAAATTTAAACGAACGAAAAACGATAAAAGTAACAACGATAAGGTTTTACCAAGCTAATATTTTACTGTTTTCCCCCTAGTATCACAAAGGTAATATATAATTAGCTGTAGCTATCTACAGTAGCTTATATATACTCACGAAGGGCAGAGCTCTCGTTTTATTAGATCAAGCTTGTGAGCTAGAATTAGAAAGCATATCGAATACACTTATCCGCTATTAAAGATCATTCGAACCATATGCCCGATGAGTTTTGTTGGACAGAAAAAATTTTAAATAAATACTTCATCTGCTTTCAAATTACGCTCAAATAAATACGTCGTCCCAAATAAAGGATTACTCGCTCCGCTTCGCTCCTGTCGTTCTATTAAACGCCGAATGCGCTTCATTCGTTTTCGACCATCCCGCGTTGTCATCACTTTTCCTGCAGTATCATCATCGCCTGGTAACCTTTATTCATTTGGAGCATCCAGATCAGTTTCACCTTGAAGTCAACGCTACTGCCGCTCTATAGCGAATTGGCTGCGTTTGTCAAAAGGCATCCAGCGGTATGAGAGAAACTGCGGCAGCTTAGAGTATAAGTTAGGGGTAGTGCGCGAGTGCTGAAGCTGTGGGGTGGCGGGAAGGAGAGCACTTGAAGAAAGGAGACGAAATGGTTACGAGCATGAGTCAGAGAAAATTTGCTTTGAGAGAATAACACTGGCAAGCTGAGCCTAGAAAGCGGAGTTGGGAGAGGTAGGCGACGCTGCCGCGGCTACAAACTGAACGCGCATCATATCAGTATCTTTCTATTGCACCCTCGCTTTACTCCTTTCTTATCCTATCAGCGTTTGTTTTCAGTAAAATTACCGCTCTGATGAACTCAATTTTGGGAAGTTCACCGCTTGTAGTTTTACATCTTCTGCTTCTGTTGGTCAACTCACCTCCAGCGTCATTAAAACCGGACCAGAAAACGCAGGCAGTTCGCTCTATTAGCCCTGCTGTAGCCAAGTAAATGCGGTGCACTTGGGTAGAAGGAACGATGACCAAATCACCTGAAAAAAAGAAAGGCACTAATTGGTTCCATCTCAACTTGCTCGATTTTCCTGCTGTTGCTTTCCATAGAGTTTCGTGTAATCACAAAACTCCAGTGACACGTCAAACTGGCTGGACGCCATGCTTCATACAACTACAAGCGATTGACTTGAAGGAAACAGATTGCGGTAAGAGTGGATAAGTGATGAAGTTGGAGAAGCCGAACCGAGTAGAGGGAAAAAACTGAAGCTTAAAGGCTTAAGTTGACTCAGTGATATCTATCTGTTCAGATAGCCATAGGATATCTTTGCAGGTATCTGTGCGTGACAGACTATCGGAGAGAATAACATGCTGTAATCTTTATTTGGTTTTAGAATTGATCCAGAATCAAACAAAATATTGTTCGATCTAAGTATTGAACATATTGCTGGTAAAAGGAAAGTGGAAGTAACAGTAAATTGAATACATACACACAAGGAATCTTACACTTTCTAACTTGCCTCCTTTTCCATTACACACTAAACAAAGCGTGAATCGTTCATAAAATCCAATTTGTCGACGAATTATTTGAATAACACAGTAGTAAAATACAGAATACACATAACCTATAAGGATTAATAGAGACTATCAGTGGTACGAAGTTAATTTGAGACAAATTTAAATGATACATTACGTAAGAGAAAGCTGTGATCGATGGAAGATGAGGTTAATAGTTACAATTTAAATAAAGTGCTTACTTAGAGTTTGGTCTACCGAAGCCCCTTCAGGCCTTAGTTTCCCTTTAACTTATAGGTTTCTATTTCATCGTAGACTTTCGTCTATTTTATCTCCCGATCGAATAAGTCACCATCGATCGTTTCGGCAGCAATTCATTTCACCAATTGGTTAACGGGCAATCAATCAACCGCTTATCGATTTCCACATCTTCCCTTCATACGCGCCTCAGCTTCCGTCACTCGTGATCCTCCGCTTGGAAGCATTAACATATTAAAAGAGCGACAAAATGATTCGTTCTGTCAGCATCGAAAGCGTTAGTTACATTATTTAGCTAACAAGCACCGACGACTTGCCCGTAGACGGCAACCTGTGATGGTTTCCTATTGAAACCTCTATACCTTGAGAAACGCTTTGGTAATTTCTAACGGCGATGCGAATGATGTCTTCTAAGATACACGCTGGTTAAAAATGCGCCACAACAAACCTCAGAAACGTACGTTAGGTCAGAGAAAAAAAAAAAAAAGGTACAACAAAGTCGTTCTGGCAAATCTGCCTAATAAAAATCTACAGGTAATTGGGGTAGCGCACGTGATTATTTGTTCTTTTAGATCTACGATAACTCAAAGTGGAAAGCGATTATACCCAGGTAATTATATAGGTTATTAGACGGAGCCGTCGGCTTCGTGCCGCGTCTATTTCATCGTTAATTAGCTTATTTAGCCTAATTATTTTACCTAGGCTAACGAAAACTATAGGTCGAGTAGGCATTAACAATTGTCCTTTTTCGATTACTTTATTTTGCCTAACCCATTATTTTCCGTCATCTCATCGCTCTATTCAAATATGTTTCCCAGGCTAAAAATCAGCTCTCAATTTGTCTTCTTCGTAATATGTTGGCTTTTTATACATTTCTACAATACGACTACGGGATTTTTGAGTGCTGACCAGCTGACTTTGATTCCGAAACGCACACAATTAGGGTGGTCTGCTTTTGAGAGACGTACATAAATCGAGTGGGCTTTATTTTTAGGACGTCATCATTGCAAAAACGTTTTTTTTTTTATTCAGCTCGTTGATACCTCTGAATTCGTGTGAAGTAAAATACCCTTAAAAAGAACACCACCCAAACGACCTCCTCGACTTGAAAACTAAGATTTAGGTTTATCAATATCTATTGAATTTCAATTTGTATCAACAAATACCAGCCCGGAACTATAGACTTTCACCCAAAAAATGTTCATTTTAGTGTTACATAAGAGAAGAAGCACATCCATTTTTTGTCTTTTTTCTCATTGAAATATCAATTTTAGCCATACAAAAATGTATTGGAATTTTTAATTTCAACCTTTTGGCATTTCTCTCGAAAAATGTTTCAAAGAACATTTTTTAAAAATCCTGCAACTCAAATGGTGGTCCTGTCAGACACTGGAACATATTAATTGACATCTGCAAAGATTCATATAATACAACCCAAACGTAGCTCAAAAAGTATCTTCATCCCATGTATTTTTAACTATTTTCGGGCTGAGGTATCTGTTTTAGATACGAATATTCTTACATTTATAGCTAACTCGTCGAGATTTGGTATCAAAAAGTAACACATTTACATGAACCTTCCCGCAAAGCTTCGGCTACCATTTTGTCAACGGATAGCCCATTTCAGCCCTGACGATTTATTCTTGCATATGCACAAGAGATTGCTGTAAAAGTCGTTTAACATCGTAAAAGATGAACAATTTGACCAAATCTACATAACATTTCGGGATGAAACTTTAACGGTCGGTTAACAAAACACTCTGTTTTGGTTGTGTATAGATTAATATTAATACAATGATTCACGTGTGTGTGTGTGTGTGTTAATACATTATCGACATGGTAAAAATTGTGAATAGTATGAGCAAGCACGTTCGACAAAAAGGACTTATTACACAAAAAACGAATTCGTGAAACCATTTCTTTACGAAGGATATTCTATGGCAAAAGTTTGTCAGTGTCCAGTTTACGGTTTCTGCGGTCCTCAAATCCACACGCACATCGTGTATTTTGGACTGCCTTGCCAAAATCGCATCAAGCGTTAAAAAGAGTTCGGCCAAGAGCCGTAATGATTCGAATCGCCCGTCAACGCGACAAGGCTGCCAAGTACAGTAGAACTGGAAAGCAAAAAAGAAACGTTTACGTTATCATCCCCCAACGATCTACCAGCGACAGCGCGCATTCAGTTAACTCTAATCGTATCGAATGCCTATGGTTACTGAATTCCGAAGAGAGATTCGGGTCCGATTGCAGCGTAGATAAATGAAAGGTCATATCGGAGGCAAAAGATGTAGACCACATAACTACCAACGTAGAAACCAATCTACATTGATGTAAATCATGAGTTCGCCACGTATATAATAGGCATACATGATATGTTCGTGATGTGAAGTACGCTCGTGATGAACAATTCATTATTTTTTCTCAATCAGGTTAAACAAAATCATGAAAGTAGAGTGTCCTTGAAGAAACGATTGATATCTGCTCTATGGGAATACTTGTAAGCATCCTATAGGTTGTATGTGTATGTTTGTTGTGAAATTCTTGTGTGCAAAAGCTCGCGAGGGGGAAGACTTGCCCACGTCGGTGTTCTTCACGATTCGTTAGTTCCTGTTTCCTCTTCTACTAGACACTACACTGCTTCTGATCCTGCCAGGATCACCAACGTAGCCGTGCAGCCCAGCTGATTCATAATATCCAGATGGCAGTAGTCAGCTGAGCCGCCTCGCGTTTCCGTTCGTTGGGAGTATGATAGCTCCTGTATCCGCAATAGTGGTGCTAACAGCAGCTACAGGATTATCCGTGACGCTGATGTTTTTTGTAAACGAAGGGATAGCATTAAGTTTTGCACGGGTGAAGATAAATGGGTAATTCGGCTTTATTAGGATATATATCCTGTTTTATCCGGTTTTTTAGTATTCGTTACATATGGTCTCATTAGGTGAAAGAGCCAAGTGTCACAGCGAGATGGCACGAGAAATGTTAGAAACTGAAAAACATACACTGAAGCCCCATGACACTTTGGCGCTAACAGTGAGGTATACGGCCTTTACTAAAGTTCTTGTGGAAGCTATAGCTTGAGCCGTCCGGTACATATGTACACACATAGCTACAGGTTTCCGTCAGAAGAGATTAGTGGCAATGCCTGCAAGAGCCCCTTGTGCGACAACATGCGACGCCCCAAAGATACGGAAGCCCCTAGCGCCTCTTGTTCCCACACTGCTTTAACCTTTTTCAGAAAGTGACTCACACAGTGAGTGATCTGCGATAATAATATATTATAGAAAGACGTCATGCAGCTCCAAAGTTTTATTTCGTTGTCCAACTCTAACCTAGAATTAGGCGGTTTATATAGGGATGTTACCTCATCTACTGCAATAATTGAAGCGAAATAATCCGTGAGCTCTTTTCCTCATCTTTTTCAGTAACACCTTATTTTCCGCTATCACTAAAAGATTTGTTTGTAGAGTATGCAAGACATTTATTTTACCAACGTGCGTTGACAATAAGAATTCACTTATGTTGAGGTATAGGTAAGGCGGATTATGAAAGGCCCCAAAATTTATAGATATAAGTTGAATAAAAACAGTGAGTTTCAGCAAGAGATAGCTAGAGTTCCTTTTCTTTTCGAAGGGCTCAACCGGCTTGTCATCTCGTTAGTTGTGGGCTGTCTCATGAAATTTTTCACTTGGACTGTGGCATTCGATTCCACCGAACGGGTGCCCTGCTACCCACGTAGTAGTTCTTTTGAATCGAGGTCTGAATCTTTGATTTTAGATTTTCGTTAACATTTTTAGTCAGCAGCCAGAGTACTATGCCGCTCTGTTAACCCCATTCTGACTTGCATAAAAGCGAAACAAGCTAGGATCAGCGGATTTTGCGGAATTAGCTTGGAATTTAGTTTTGGCTTTTGTACGTGTGTAGATGTCCATTAATATTATTTCCTTGCCTGTCGAAAAGACTCCTGGCTTTATATTTAAATAGGAAACAAATACAGCATCTAGCCTTAGAGAAACGTAGCGGCGCACCTGTGCATAATAAACGTACGCTCGTTTCGAGATACTCGCATAGAAAATTGGTTTGAAATCAATCCAAGATTTGAAATCGCTATGTCAACGATTTGAATTCGTTTTAAACTACTGATACTCGTTCCCAGAACAGAAAAATAACATGCAGGTACGTAAGAAGACCTGGGTATTGCCTTATTCCCAAAAACATCGGCCGAAAACTTATTTCGTAATTTGTTTACTAAACTAAATTTGAAACATGTTCCAGTCAGGATTTCGGATATCTATAAATATTCTAAATTGATAGTATGAATAATAATCATAATCTAACCTGTTTTTTTTATGAATTAGCTTTTTTTTTGCAACAGTTAATGCAGGAATACACGCTAATCCATACAGTTAGGTTTTTTACACTCGTAGTAATATCTTACCTGATCTCTTAGTTATTGCCGCCTATCATCGTAGTGCCACCAGCCGCTGCCCTTTAAGCAAGGAGAGTAAGCACGAACGAAAGTGGGTCGCAGTAAGGAGGTACATGAGAACCTGCCTTTTATACTTTTTCTACTTGTTCTTGCGAACCCTTTGCCTGCTAGCATGGTAGCGCTGGCCCGAAGCTATTTCTTGCAGTCTCGGTGGCCACTATCGGTGCTTTGGCTGCGGTAAATAGGAGAGGACGACAGGCTTCGTTCGATTCATGACTAGGATGATAGATATAAATAAAGGGAAAACCGAAGAAACGACAGTAGTGCCAAAAAGATGAAGATGAGTCTGAGAAGAAGCAAATACGGGGTTGAAAGTAAAGGGAAAGAGGTAAGCAAAGAATAACAGGCAAGCGACATAGAGCTGTGGTACAGCTTTACGCTGTTGAAGTGTGACGGCTATCGTGTTGTGTTTCGTCTAGCTTTGTGCACGCTTGCGACCTGTATTACTGCTTCGGGCTTTGACCTTCTCTTCAAATAGGAACACAATCTTCTTACGTTCAGTAAGAGGGCGGAGTGAGCGCGAAACAGTAGAAGAAATGGAGACAGCGAAATGAGTACCGATAGGTCTCAATACTGTTACCAATCATACAATACAAAAAAAAAAACAAAAATGATGAGAATTCGGTTTGCTCCGCACCGCTATATGACTGCGATCCTAAGCATATGCTTCTTATATGTACCGCAAGTTTTTGCTTGCATGATATAGAAACTTACTTTTCATTCATTAAGAAAAAGTTGCTTTTACTAAGGAAAAGAATCAATCACACGTGTGCAGGAATATGCAGCCTGCTATTTGAAGAATGAGGATATGACATTTTCGGAACGTCGTCTACGGTGAAGACGTAGTTGCTAAAAACATTTTGAAGGTCCAAAAATAGACGGTAGTCGCCGGACGAAGAGCATGCGGAGCTGGTGGGAGCGGGAGCGACTTCCGCTGCAACCACGTAATTACGCGACCGGTTGTCTTGCGACACGTGCCCAGGTGTTGCTCGAACGAAGAATCACAGCCTTCGCTGTTGGAAAGCTGATTTGCTTGTCGCGCAACGCGATCGGTAGACCATATTCAGCCAGGTCGTTAGATTTCAGACCCTCAAAGTAAATAATACTTTTCTTTTTTTCAAATTTGCGGAAACACGCATAATACTATTTAGTAGTTTTGGTTTTGTCAATGCGTACATTTGGCTCACGTACGTGTATAATTATCGAATTAAAGAGACAGCGCTGCTCAGTATTTGATTCTATGTCATATTTATCAAGTAGAAAGGACTATCTTTGCAGTGAGATCAAAATATCCTGAACTAATAAAGTTCCTTTAACTAGGATTCCGGCGTGAAGTCGTTATAGCTGCACTCCGAATGGTAGCCAGAATTTGGGCAGTTCAGAGTAGGAAAAAGTTCATGCAGTACCTATACTATTATTATCACTTCTACGTGCAAACACAGTCGAACCTCAAGCAATTGTTTACAGTTACTCAAGATGTTTATCATTTAACGTAAAACTCCGCGACGAGTTTCGATACACGAAAAGCTTTATCGGATAAAGACCAACTCTTTGCCGGGTCAGTAACCTTAACACCACTCAATCGCTAACCAGCGGAAGCGATTTTCAGATTAAACCAAGAAGAAGCTGTAGCTTATATACTTCTGTTTCGTGAGCATGCACACAACATATACGTTGGAGGTAATAAGATTATATAGGTCGGCATTTGCTTAGCACAGAGAACAACCATTGCCATGCAAAAAAAATAGCTAACAGTTCGCCTCCTTTTTGTGCCCCTGAAGGTCAACTACGCGAACCACTAATGATTTTGTGTAGATAAGTCAATACTTTAATAAACCATACAGAGAATGCTTGAAAATTATCTGGCGATGAAGTCGATGCTTCGTAACCATTTAGGGACAATCTAAGTAAATCAAAGATGAGGTCTCGTGTGCTACAGGTCCTTAACAGGCTCTACTGGGACGTGTAAAACCAGGTTTTAAGTGCCCCAGCGATTCATTTTATTAGAGGACTAAGCTGGAATTGTAACAATGTGGGCATTTTTCTCCCAACAAATGAATTGCACTAATGAGATTTACGCCTCCATTGTGGTTACATAAGATTCTGGAATAAAGAACTACCAAATGTTATCCATAAGTTCGTAGTCGTAATTATTTGCACAGACTTGTATAGGCAATTTTCGTTAGTTCCAGCGGTCAATGTGTGACAGCTGCTGTGATTTGTTTCAGAAACTAGAGATGTGGCATTTAGTTGGTAATAAAAACAATAACCCGATGCTGTATTTAATAGCTGAATATAATTTAATAGTAGAAAAATACTCGCTACTTTTATGTTGTCGCAAACCTTTAGCAAAAGTCAAAGAAAAACATTGTTAGCTAGCCCAGATAGCCCAACTGCTAAAAACGTAGTAGACTTCTCACCTGCATACATATCAAAAATGTCGAAATTTCGATAATCTTTCTTTTAGAGGCAACGTTTCCATGTGAGGAAGAACTGCACGGCTCAGGCAGTGTTCCGTTTGTATAACTCCACCATCGCCGATACAATGTGTTTTGATTCGATAGTTTCTTGTCTTACACCTTGGTTAGTTCCACTTGTTTTCTATTATCTTTGATAATATGGGTAAAATCAAGGTCAGAAACAGTATTATCATAGTTTGAAGTAGGTGATAAGTCCTTTCTACGCCACGTCATACGTGACACATCTTCACAAATGTTTGACCCATGGTACATCTTTCTTATTACATAATGTAATCAGCTGCTCTCGCCTGCTTTCGCCCTAATGTGACGATTTCGTCTGTCACTTCGCACGGTCATTGCATTGTGGATGCTGATGTCAACAGAAAATTTTCTAGCTTATTCTTAGGCCTCCTACGACAGTTTTGTCTTGCGATAAGAATATAATAGAAATAGAAAGTGGAAAGGAAACTACCAGTCAACTCCTGACTCTCCGTTTAGCAAAGAACAGAGACAGTTCCTTTCGCACGGAACTTGGATTAACTACCGATGAAGCCGTCACCGTCGAGCGTCGGCATTATGAAACAACAGCAGCAAACGTGAGCCCAGTTGCTCGTTTCGACGTATTTCGAATTGTTCGTCTTTATTTCCCTATGTCACTAACTAATCACTTACTCTGTTCTGAACTGTCGGCTTGTAAATCCGTGCAAGCTCTACTATATGGGCCCCTTTAGCTTGGCAGTCGCTGATTTAATCAAACCCATGAACTCGAAAATCTTCTATAAAATAGATCGGAACAGATACCTTTTTCTTCCCTATTCTTGATCCCTATACATAGAAATAACATATTAAATGTGATTTTTGAAGCTATGAATTTCCTATTGGATTTAAGAGGTTCAAGAAGCGCTATGAAAAAGGAATAAAGGGAACTCCAAAATTTTTTTCTTTTTTCTGACGGATTTTTAGCGATGTTGTTATTGCTTAATTGAGATGCCACTGTTCAATGGCCTTACGGACCAATTTTTCCTAGCGTCCTTTGTTTTTGACTTAGCTAAATCGTTTCACCACCGAGTATTAATATTATTAAATAGTTCACGGACGACCTCGTCCTAGAAAGAATGCGTCTCAACGTATAAACTAGTAGCAGGCATTTTGATTTTTCTTTTTTATAATACAGCTTGATGGAAATGCTTGGCGGAGTCCAATCATTGAGATAATCTTCTCATTTTGTATCGTTTACGTACATTAGATGGTCAGCCTTTAAAGTGACGGAAGTCAAAGGCGACTCACCCTGGTTTCGTGCCTTCTGCATTTACGGCTGGAAAGGACAGCAACAACAGCAGCAACGACTCAGCGAAGCAGGGAACCGATTTTTTCTGTTTACGACGTGCCAGTTTCCTTCCTTCTTCCCCTTTCAATTTTTCGACGACGCAAAGAATGCGTTATCGTGCCTAGCCGCCGCTAAACCGTTCAACAAGCAGGAGACGATCTGTTACCTAATCGACAAATCGGTAGAAAGGCTAGCTAACCAGCCAACAGTAGTAGCCTACCAAGTGCAGTCGAAGACCGAAGACACGGGACAGCCAGACAAGAAAGCAGGAAGACTGTTCAAAGTCGTTGCCACCTGCTACCGTAAAAAAAGAGAGCTCTAAGAATACAGGAACGTTCGTGGCTGGCATGTTGATATTCGGGTGCTAAATTGCTGCCGTTACCGAATTTTGAATCGAACGTGTTGCGGGACGCTGTGGCTTAAGAGAAAAAGACAAGCCGAAAGTGCCGACGAGATCTGTTCTGAATGGTAATAGCATTTTGAGTTATGCTCAGAGTAAAAAGAACTTCTCCTACCGATTTACCTTTTATACTCCGATGAATGACTTTTTCGCTAGGAAGAGAGACCTCGAGAACGTCGTGGGACTACAGGCGAGCAAAATAATAACGCTTTAACAGCATTAGCAGCGCTGCAGCCTCTTCATACCAGCGCCACGACCGTCAGTGATGGATAAGTTCAACCGACGGGTATGAGGAGCTAACGACAGTAGTGGTAGAGAAAACAATGAAGGGTAGTAGAAACTTTTGAAGAATGCCTTTCACGCACACTTTGTCCGGGTACCAATCTTACTCCTTGGCCTTTCAATGGCTGCCTACTTATGAGGACACTCACGTGGTCCGGCTCCCGCACTTTTTCAACGAAGCGTCCACAAGAGTTTACGTAATTATATTATATGCACAATTGAACAGCGACACTTTTGCTAAACCATTTGTTCTTAATCTATGGTATACTAGCCGCTGTCATACTTTTCTCTATTTATGCGTACACGCATTTCTGGCTGTTCGCCTGTCAACGGCGCTGGATCATCCCTAGATTTTTCTCGAGCAAACAAACACGAAAGCGGACGCTATTAGGAATATTATGGATCATCAATCTAACATCCAGGGCCTCACGAGCCAAAAATATTACAGAAACGAGCAAACGTGTTCGTAGGCGGAGATAGGTTGGCGTCTTCAAATAGCGATTTTGCGCAGGGCGGGGCATGTTTATGGTGAACTTGTTTGAAA